GTCTCCTCTTCACTTCTAACTGCTGAACTTGTTGTAAAAGTGCAACTCGCAGCAGACTTGTGTCTCGGTGTGAAGGCGGGAGGTTGTAGTGGAGTTCACTTAGAGAGTAATTTTTTAAGAGGCTCTTTGCAGTTACCTAATGCTTACAATAAAACTCAACGGACCTATATTGTTGCACTGCATTCTGCCTTCTTTAGTCTTTTTATCTTACTTTTGCACCACATGGATGCATTCAATCAAGTGTGCTTTTCTGGATTTTTTTTGCTAAAATTTATTTCAACCAGTGCTTCTATTTCTTTTTTTCACCACGTCTCTTCGTTTTTCCATGACTATGCATATCGTCCCGTGGTTGTGGTAATCGTTGCTGGTAGTGTGACCACCTCATCACCAGTCTTGCATTTTGAAGTGCAATTTATTTTTATAAAGTACATGTTTAAGCATACATCTCTTTGTTAAAAAAAAACATGGGCTTGTTGCAGTAGTACCATTTAAAGGTACATTTTTAGCGCTGCCATTAAGACCTTCCTTCTTTGGAATGACGACTTTGATTTGACACTTCACGGATTGTAAGAGTATGATGGTTTCCTGATTTCTACTCGTTTATGATTGTCTTCCCAAACCCATTATCTGATGCTGAAATGTTTTATTACTTGACAACCCTTTTTGGAAGAATGTCTACTAATTGCATTTGGGTAATTTTTGCTTCAGGTCGAACGACTGAACGCGCAAGTACTGGCCCTCACCATGGATTTAACCAAGTTCAAAACGAAATACCCAGCCTAGGCTGAGAACCCGGATATGGAGACATGATGGAACCCCTCCTCTCCCCCAATTATGATGACTTTTTCTAGCGCTTATTTTTTGTCGCCGAATTCTATTTTTGTCCCTCCATGAGAAACTCAAATGCAAATAAATCTTCAATTTGTATCTCTCAAAGTGTAAAGCGTTCTCACTCACAGCACTGGCCCCAAGTAGAGCATTTTTGGAAGTTTCTCAACTATCTCAAGGCAACCATTCATGATTCATAAACACTGGAAGAAAAGCACTATCAACAAAGAAACCATTCTTTTTGTTTCACGGGGACAAATTAAAATAGGGAAGGGACCCGGGCGATGCGTGCAGCTTGTGAAAATGCACAAAAACAGTAATCCTAGCAAAGAGGGGGTTAAGGTACATTGGGCATGGAGACTGCGGGGAAGCTCATCGTCTCAAGGCTTGCAGGTGACCGTAGTACATCAGGTAATGCAGAGCCACCGCCCAATTCACCGCCTGTAATTTATTAAAGTACACGTCACCAGTGAAGAAAAAGAAGCAAAACGACGTAGCTTCTTTGCTCACGCAGTTTGACTCTCACTTAGCCCAGCATCATGCAACAAGAAAAATGAGGCGGTTCAATGCTGGTGATGCTTACATGACCAACTCACAATGACTGAGCAGTCTAGGATAAAACAGGATGAGTAAGAAACAGGATCACAACTTAGAACCTGAGCCTAGCGCCAAAAAGTACAAAGCAATGGGAATCGTGTTTTACGATAATCAACATGAAGGACATATCAATTATTCATTTTGCCCTATTAAACGCCTTTGTCCATACCTCTTGTTGTTGCTTAATTACATTGAGAGTGTCTTCAGCTCGCTTGAAATCCTTCAGTTCAAGGACTAAAAAGAGGGTAAATCCAATAGGGATTGCTTTGCCGGAAGCATGTATGAACAAATGAATAAAACATACATGAAATGAATTGCTTTACAAGTTCGATAGCGCCCGTCGATAGCCGATTCAGAGAGATGTCCAAATGAAGGGAGGAGATGGAGGCCAAAATCACCTCCTTTCCTGGAATCTTCAAACCAAATAAAACACCATTTAAGCAACAATAAGACGGAAGAGGGGCAACATTTTGAATATAATACCTCTAAAGAAGAGTCGCTCAGAACCTTATTGACTTGAGCAGACAATCGAGAAAGTGTAGAGGTGCTGTCATTGTTTGGTGGCGACTGTGGAGACGGCAACTGCTGCTGCTGTTGGGGCATCAAGGGAACATGAAGTGGTGTTTGCGGCACAAAAGGGTGCCCGCTAGAGAGAGGCGGGACCTGAGGGAAGATTGGAGGTACAGAACCAATACTGGAGTGAACCCCACCCGCCACAGAGGAACCGGCGGCTCCAACACCATCGACAGAGTGGAATACGCGCGGACGGGGGCGCCGTGATGATGCTGCGCTGTCAGAGACGCCCAGCACAAGCGCTGGTGGGTCGTTCCAACCAGCTGGAAAGAAGAGGGGAGAAATAGAAAAAAAATAGTTGTGAGAATAAACTCACAGAAGTTGTGCACACTCTGGATGGCTCATGTGCTATGGTTGGGTATTCCACTCAACAGAGGAGAAAAGCTAGGGATTACCAGTAGGATTGGGGAAATGTTGCAACGAAACGGAAATGGTTAAAACACGATGCAGAATTTTGGCCAAGAAAACAGGAGATATGGCCAAAAGATAAGGTTCACCCATTTATACACGGTGTTTTTTATTAGGAAAAGTAGTAATGATTGGGGTGACTATTTTCCATCAAGTAAGGCCGCCAGCACGACAAGGTTTTTCGGGGAAAAAATTACTAGGCAACTGTTTATTAAACTTACGATACAAATAAGTCTGCAGATACAACGGAAAACGGGCAAAATTAACAAGAGCTCAGAACAAAATGAAGGAATAGATGAGGCGAAGAGGGAAGTGGGGGAACGCGACGAGATAAAAGCGGATAAGAAGTGCCCTCCCAGGCCATAAAGTAACGCATCATAGTGACCAAAGTAATAAAGTAAAACTGTATCGGGGATAAGCAAGTACGCTTGTTATTTTAAAACTGCAACGCGTATTGAATTACAGACGGAACAATAGATAAAAATGCACACGAAAGCCTCGCAAGTGTGAGATCACAAGAATGTGAATTCTACTAAGCCTGAAATTCAAACTCGACCAAAAGGGTAAAACGGGTGTTGAAGATCTAAGAGATAGCTATCACCACATCCCGGGCACGCGTATTTGGGTAAATCAAAATATGAGGATTGCACTTTGATTGACCTAAAGTCAGTGGCTTTGCGCGCAATACACCTGAGTCCAGACACACGTTCCAAGATTTGCTTTAAGTGACCTCTACTATAAAATAGCTTTTACAAACACACCGACGTATCTTACTTGAATAAGGGCAAATTCAATGAGCAGAAGTTTGACGGATAGTTATGTCCACGAAATACCTCGTAGCATGCCAGAAAAGGGAATCAAACTTACGGGCACAAGGAATGGACATCCCAGACGATCGCAATAAGGCACCCTGCGGTAGAGCTGCTTAAAACAAACAAACGGATGGGTTTGCAATCACTGAAAAGGCAAATGATAGAATCTGCAACAAATTAAGGAAAATGACAAATGTCTAAAGTTACATTTGCATAAATGACCAGTTTAAAAATATTTTTAATTAAGATTATAGACATTCTTAATTTTTTACGAGGTGAGTGAGGACAAAATCGTATTTAAAATCACAGCAGTTGCACCATATTCGGTTGCGCATTAGGTGTACTCCTAACTTGCTGACAAAGACTGCCATATCTATTCAGGGTCTCAATTCGCCCGTCCACTATTTGTCCTTAAATTATTTTCTCAGTTGGGTCAGGTTTAATGCTAGCCTAGTCGACTTCTCCTAATTAAATAATTTTTTATTTGTGGTAAGCTGAGCGCAATCTGTTGCAAAAAATCGTTAAATAAAGCTAATCGGTATGAAATAACAGTATTTGAAATATATAGCCAAATGACTTCGGTAGCGAATAATTGAATACCATTTGTTGCCTCCGTTTTGTAGAGTGAATTGTTTTGGAACGTATACGACAACAATGTGAATTGTAATACATATAATTACTAGTATGTAGGTATTCGCTTGTTTTAAACGTTAACGGCGTTGGCGTTCAAATAAGGAACGTTGGGAATTTCTAGCCAGGAATCATTGAATTGTTTTGGGTTCTCCCTTTCGCATAAACTGTTATGGCCAAAAAAACCTATGATCTTCTATTTAAATTGATGCTAATCGGCGACTCTGGTGTTGGCAAAACATGCATTCTCTTCCGCTTTGTGGATGACTCCTTCTCCTCGTCTTTTATTTCTACAATAGGGATTGATTTCAAAATAAAAACAGTTGAAATCGATGGGAAGCGTATTAAGCTACAGGTAATTGTCTAGTATGTGTCGCGCATAAATCATAGATATGGGACACCGCTGGCCAGGAGCGTTTCCAAACCATCACTGCATCCTACTATCGTGGTGCGATGGGCATAATGTTGGTCTATTCGGTGACATGTCGTAAATCCTTTGAGAATATTTCAAAGTGGATGTCAAACATAACTAATTTAGCGTCTGAAGAAGTTGAGAAAATTATCGTTGCTAATAAGACTGACAAAGTTGATCAGCGTCAAGTGTCTGTGGAGGAGGGTCTTGCTGTTGCTGAAAGATACGAGGTAAGGCGATTTCTCAAAAGTGTCATATTTTAGGTCAAACATTTTGAAACAAGTGCGATGAATGGAACAAATGTTGAAGCAGCCTTCTTGGAACTCACTAGATCTATTTTGAGGAAAGTTCCTAGAGATCAAGGATCTGCGGCCCCGATTACTCGTGTTCATAATCTCAACGCTAAGTCTCAGTCTTCCTCATGCTGCTAAGCTGCTTTTAAGTAATTCGTACTTATTGTATCCAAATCTCGAATCTCTTGTGTCCCTTTTCTCCCCGTTCAATAACCTCATTCTGCCTCCGCATAATTCCGTGTCAATTGGCTACCACACTCTAACTCCCGACTCTGGGAAATCTACTGTGATGATTTCTGTTAAATTTCCAGCTTGCATCTTGAAATCATTGTGAGGTAACACTGTTCCTAGATCGTGCTTTTATGCCATTGTAAATATATTCTACTTAAATCTTCATCTTTCGCTGATGGATGTTGCTAGTGGAATTTACATTCTTTTTAAGGTTTTGTTTGATAGAATGTTATATGACCAGCATATCCGTTCGTTCGAGATCATTGCAATTCAAGGGTCAGGTTTCCCCCCACTTATTTTTACTATTTAATATTAGACATGCTAGGACTCACTTGATTTTTTACTATAAAATATTCTAGTTTGTGTTCGTGCTTCATTATCACTTTTTAACTGCATCGCGGATGTTTAAGCAAGTTGAACAACCCAGGCCACTGCTATTAACTTCAGATCATGCAATAACCGTGAGGGGAATATTTAGCGCCCTGAATGTGGTAATGATCTCTTTGCGCATGTGGTCTCTTTGTTTGCGGAATGTTTAATGTTAAAACAGTGCTTATGTGTGGATTCCGTATACCCATGAATCGTCGTGAATTACTAAAAAATTCTCAAGTTGTGCAGCTTATTTTCATAGTTCTTGCCATCTAGCTAAACTCAAATGCCGGTTTTTGAGTTTGATCTGTGCCAACCGTTTTGGTCGTTTGGTTCTAATGCGAAATCTAAGGTCCCACTTAGCTTCTCTGACGTAGTGCCGGGCGGTTATTCCGAACTCGAGGATCGGTCACTTCCTAGCCCCTTCCCTGTCTGCTGAATTTGAGAATTTAGCGGTCTTCAGTTACACTGTATCGCTGATAAAGAAGCCCTTATTCTTAAAGTCCTGTCTGGGAGTTCACCTTCCCTGGCTTTATTTTTGCAGTAAATTAGATTGATCGTTGATGGATAGATAGATCGTTGTTCAGTTCGTCAAGACAAGTAAGCACACACCGATGTGTTGACTTCGTAATATAAGATTTTATTTACACTAAGTTGTCGTTGAATTCGTGTTTTTTTCTAACCATATGAATTAACGCTCAGCACAGTTGATGGAAGGATTATTGGCGGACGTCCCTACCACAACACAGTGCCCCTTCCACTTTCAAAAAGCATCTTACCGGAAGCATTCAACAGAGTTGCGTTTGTGAGACCTATTTTCAGCTTACACTTAGGGTGGCTGTATGTGTCCCTAAAGTGCAGAATAACTTTCAAAGAGGCAGATTCCAAATTTATTTCACATCTTCGTGCAGTTCTTCGTTTGATCCCTTAGTGTTATTTTAAGCCGCCATTAGGAAAGTAACCAACTACTTCTCGAGATACACGATTTGGATCACAAACTTTGGCTAACTCCACGTTAAATTGTAGCTGAACAACCTGTGCACACTTTTGTAACCACTTGGAACGGTGAGAGTACACTGCACAGGTCAGTCCGATTCTGGCCTATGCCCTGGTTGCAATGTCGTTGAATCACAAAATAATTCTCTTGTAAATCTGCTTTGTTTTGAAGCGCACATATGAATATGATGCTCCCAAAAATGTGGGGATCATTGTGAACAGAAGTATATTCTTGATCTGTTCAAGGAAAATAATTGGATATACCGACAATTAGTGCCAAGTAATGAGTCATCTAATGGGTTGCTTTTTGCGCTTGAACTTGTTTGTGGAAGGGTATGACTTGGCCTGCCTACACTTCTTTTTACGATATCATCGCTAACGCTACTGAAGGCTGTATTTTAATATCTGTCGTCCATAAGGCGGTCATCGAAAAGAAAAAGGCAGATAGTCTAATCTTAAGCAGATGCAGAGCTTATTTGGGCGCTTTTAGGATGGAAAACGCCTTCAGGCTTCAAGAAAGTTTCACTTCACTTGCACTCCATTAGAGTGCAACCAGATCTTCGCTTTTCTTCGATGAATTGTGGTAGACGTGGATGTAATAGGATGACATTAAATGACGTGACACCATAAGGACCTTTTGGGCATCTCAGAACGGTGGCATGAGGTTAGGGTTATGCCACCTAGAACGCTAGTCGTCCAATTCTGTGCATTGATGGCAGAGAGATGGCAGTCGAAAATGGAATCAGACAGGACTAGAGGTAAGGAAGTTTCTTTTCATCAAAATAGGAGTTGGATGGGCAAAAGATTACAAACGGTAGCATAAGTATGCGTGTTAGGTGCTCCAATGCAAAATGTTGGGAACTCTACCATTGCTTATCCACGTGCTTTAAATCATTGAATATATTCCACCAAACGAATTAATTTGAGGTGAGACTTACCTTGGACTGATTTAAAATGCTTGAACAACTGAGGTAGGACATGGATTTATGCAACAATCAAGGGCAAGATTGTCAGTGAAAGCAAAAGCTTGGGCAATATATCAATTTAGAAGATACTGGGATTCCAATACATTGCAGTAGCGATAGTATTTTAATGTAGTGATTCGCGTCTTCCGTGAAGTCATAAGAAGTCACAACAGGACGATAGAAAAGGGGCTGAGGGGCTATTGGAATAACATTAAGGTCATACACCAGACGAAAGTACATTTTGTGGATACCTAGGTGCCCGCCTACTAAAATGTGGATTTGAACAAACTATCAAGGCACTACAGCATAACTTACTACCAGGTAATGAATTTTTACTGTGGAGGTACTGCAAGTTCAATTTAGATGTCTGGGCGCTAATGGAACATATTTTGATTAGACCTTTTTGTGGAAGGCGTCAGGGAAATTAAAAATTGTAGGTTTTATCTTTTGCCAAAATATGATTAAACCTATTCGAGTCCCAAATTGATCATATATAAGTACGTCAAGTGCAACAGGATACTTTGATTTGTGCTAATGAATACGTTAAGTGTACAGATGCAAAGAGTCAAGGATCTGGCAACTAAGGCAACAACTTTTCTCTAAAAGGATTACAAAATCCTATCCCACAAAAACATTTACTTTTCAAGCAATCTAATAACTCCAAATCAAATCAATCTTCCTGATCAATAGGTTTAAAACTAGAGGGACACCGACAAAACCATAAATGCTTTATAAAAGTGTGCCATAACGTAGTTGGCTTGCATCTGATGAGATGGGTAACTCTAAAATTATCCTCTCAAATTTGATGGTTTAGACAGCTGAATACATAATGTCTGGCGCATTTGGATTAATTCTAATGTCACATTTTTTTTGCATCATGCTTATTAAGAACGCTTAACACTTGTAAGTTTCCGGCCTAATCACGTAGAACTCTAGCGTTCCGAGTTTTTGCTGACGCCGTGATTGACTAAGGTAGGATGGAGGAAAGCGTAGTAGTGGCATAGAGGAGTGGTGGGCGGCTACCGGGATCTCCCGAATTCCGTGTCACAGAATATAAAATGTCAATTCACTAGAGGGCCACCATCCCAATGTCGGCAAAAGTTTGTACAAGGCTCCACGAGAAGAACAAAAATTTTTATTTGAAATAGATTACAAATCACACTAAATCCATCTCTTTGATGGTTTACTGTAAATCGCATGCATAGATCTTCAAAAAAATAAGGGTTTTAATTGGCGCATACAGCTTTCAACGTCTTTAATTGTGTTTTTGCCTACATACATTTTCGGCCAAGTACATGGATTATTTTTTCCGGAAAAAATACCTGTATAAATAAATGACCTGAAACTGTCAATTAAATTACTACTATCTATCCAATTTAAAAATGCAGCTTAAACCACTGAGGAATGTTTTAGTTGAAGGTGTTTAGTGATGTTGAGGTAAAATAATTAGTAGCACTATAAATGCGCGCATTAGAAAACCCTGAAAGGTCACCATACGTAATATTACATTGTCACGTATCTTTAAATTCTTAAAAGCAAGCGAGTTCATCTCAACTCAGTCACCGAATTTCTTAAGATTACTGTTGCTCAGGTATTTTTTTTCTAGCTAACTAGAAAATGGGAGCCCACCTTTTGAGTCAGTATAAGGCTTGGCCGTCGTAGCTCTTGTCGCTAAAAGTAGCAGCAGGCGGTTTCAGCATTTGAGTTCGTTGACACTAACTATGCCACATGTTTTATTTTAGTCCCATATGACAAGTCGTCACTAGTAATAAGGTTTACGGACGTCTTTAAATCAATTACGCCGTAAAAATAGCGGGAAACCTTCCCTACATCGACAGCCTCCATGTGTCCATCCAATACAATCAACTTTTAAGTTATTTTGCGAAAAATTAGGTTCTTCTGTCGAAGATGCCACGGGCGTTGGAAGTGGTGGCGCATCTAATCTCTGAAGGAAAAGCACATGATATAATCGTAATGGCTGGCGCGGGCATCAGTACAGCTAGTGGCATTCCGGATTTCAGGTAGATTCCATACGAAGGACGACTGCATTAAAAGCTCTCCAATAAACATAACACCAATGTGGTGCATCTGGGACGATATTATTTGTTTTCTTCTGTTCTATTTATTGATACGTGGTCTTTCTGATGATCTTAAGTTGTAAATAACTTTTAAAGTGAGAGGGTGTACGGGGGCCCAGTTTTCTTTAACTATCAGAATTGGTTCTTTCACAAAATTAATAAGAACGGGTGGTAAAATGCACTCATTTATTTCCCATGTTTGATTTCGCTACATTCTAAACACTAATAGTCATTCGAGCTTTATGTAGTGTTGATTAAGTATTTGTATTAGCTGTCACTGCCAGTACCTCATTGTTTCACTTCCTTAGAATTTTCCCCAAGATCAGCAACCAATTGGTCATTTGTCAGTAATTTCATTTTTATTTAACTTTCAGGTCACCAAAAACAGGACTCTACGCAAATCTCAAAAAATACAAACTACCTTATCCAGAAGCAATATTCGATATTAACTATTTTAAGATTCGACCCTCAGCCTTTTACGCACTCGCCAAAGAATTGTATCCCACAGGAAAATATCGGCCGAACATTGCTCATTATTTTTTCAGACTCCTCAACCAGAAGCGTCTGCTCAGACGCGTGTATACTCAAAACATTGATGGTCTAGAAAGAGGTAGTTAAATCCCACTTTGGAAGTGTTTGAAAGAAGGAATATCTAGTTTTTGATCTAGAGGCGAAAAATTCCTGCTTTATTTGTAGTCGCTGGAATCCCCGCAAGCAAGTTGGTTGAAGCTCATGGAACATTTGCCACTGCACAGTGTCTAAAATGCGAAAAATCAATCCCCGCGAGGATGGTCAAGGTTTGCCTTCCTAGTGATGATGTGTTTCGTCTCCTAATTTCACTTTTATTTCACAAAGTAACAACGTCCTTGAACGAGGCTTACAGGGTCATGGTTAAAAGTAGCGTCCCCGGCGTTAACTCCTACATTGAGTAAATATTGTCCATATTTGTGCGGGTGATTTGCCTTATCCCTTATCCAAAGGTTATATTGATGTTAAATCAAATTTTGTATCGATGGCAGTTCCACTTGCATGAGAGTTCTGACTTAATGCCTAACTATGAGTAAAGTCGTGAGATGTAATAGTAGGTTAGCAGTTCGAAATATTATTTGGAAATAAAAGTACACGGACAGTTTACTGCCGTGTAGTCAAAACAGACATCTCATTTACCGGTTGATGATTTAATAATCTAAGTTTAATCATATTTGTAGACAAAAATAAAAGGAACGAAGGAGAGTGATCATTTCAATTTGAATTTTTTCTTGCACCCACACACTTCTCATTCCTTTTGAATAGATTCACAAACGTGTGGAAGTCCCACTTGCGCCTTTTAACGCAGCCACCTCTTATGCTTTTAAATTAGCTTAGCATCTGACTGCCTCTTCATGGTACTTGGCTGCCAATCTAATAGCCAAAAACTTTAGGCAGCAATCGACAGAGGAAAGGTGGCACGGTGTTACCGTTGCAGGGGTCTGGTGAAACCAGATATTGTCTTCTACAACGAGGACCTTCCGGCAAAGTTCTGGCGCTATCGAGAGGACATTCCAAAGGGTGACCTGATTATTGTAATGGGCACCTCTCTGGAGGTTCAGCCCTTTTCGAAGTTAATCGTTGCCACCCACTCTAATACACCCCGTGTGCTCTTCAATAAGCACATCGTCGGACCGTTTAAGACCCGTCGTAGGCCCAAGGATTTTGTTGCTCTTGGTAGGCTCAAGTCCCTATTTTAACACTAAAAGGAATTAACAAAGAGCGTCTTTTGTTATATTTTTAAACCATTTATTGCTTAATAAATCCCTTTTTTACATCGAAAGTAACAGGTGTGAATTATAAATAATGAATCGTTTACGTAGCTGGGAAGTGATGCAATCCCGTAAGTTACATTTCTGAGCTTACAAGAAGTGATTAAACATCCCGGAGACCTGGTATTGTGGTGGATCTGACCCATGACACAGGGGCTCCATCTGTAACTTATGGCTGTAACTTGTTTGTAATTGTGTAGTGCCGTCTTACCCATTTATCACACTACTATCGGCAACTTAGATGCTATTTTCCTGATCTCTTTCTTCTTTTGTCTACTCCTGCATCCATCTATCGTGGATAAGACGAGCTATAAGTTAGGACTCAGCACAGGCTGTGTTGGCTCTTTTAATAAATGTTTGATTTTAAACTTTGTTTAAAGACTTGATCCAACCATTGCGCTGGGCGTTCGGGATTATTAAAAATTAATGCCTACTAAATATGTAAGGTTTGCGGTTTACCTTGCTATTATCGAGGAGAGGCAATTTTTAAAATCATTTTGTTAAATTCATATGCTTTGTTTATTAAGCTGGTCGATCAAACATTGTTACTAATTCACATCAAAATGAAAAAGTGTTCACCTCTGATGCAGTTGCCGTCCATAACTACCCATTGTTTTAATCTTAGCACAAACCTTTCCTCCGGCTAGTTCATTTTTAAAACCATAATTATCTTACAAAACCTAATTGTTTCAGAGTATCAGCCAGTTTTGCAGCCGTTCATCGGTCAAAATTCCCACCTATCTTCGTCGCTGCGCAATTTTCGATGTATCTATAAATTCGAATAGTTGCTGGAAAAATTGGGGATTGTGGAATAATAATTTAAAAAGCTTAGGGATTTTATGTTCAGCATCTTCATGTTTTAATGACAGAAAACTAAAGAATTTATTCCATTAGTCTAAGCACTTGAATTTTGCTATTTACAGGCGATATAAGCACACTTATTCGCGAGTTGTGCGCATTACTTGAATGGACCGACGAACTGGAAGATCTAATGAAGGACGCCGAATTGAGACGCGTAAGTTGGCCAGAAAAGTTTAACCTTCGCTTCATGAAGTCGATTTCAATGGATTGTTATTACACGCCTCTGTTTCACCTAGATTGACTATATTGGCCTAAGTCCCCTCAATGTAAATGCCATGTTACGGCTTCAAAATGAGCACCGCCGACGCAACGAGTCCAGAATCGTCAGAAACAGCTGTCAAACCACACCCACTATCTCCTCCTTTTTGCCCAATGTCTGTCTCGATGAAGAGATGGAAATGCGAGCTTGCATGGCCTCCTCTGGGGTCGCGCGTTTCCCTGTGCCAGTTGGTGATGATAAAAACCAGAAACTTCCTAGTATTGTCCTCGAATATCACAGAACTGAGCGGATGAAAATGCCCTATCCACCACATCGTCGTCGGGGGATATCCGTGCCTCCAATTCGTTGTGGTGTCGAAGAAAGCGGGGAAGGAGGACAAATGGATGAAGATCTGAAGGAAGAAACTTTAAAAAAGGTGAAAAAAGGAACTGTTTTGCTTCCAAAACGACTCTCTGAGATGCATATCACCACGGACGCGGATGAACAGAATTAGCTTTCAGTTGAATAATTTTTATCTCCCATGAAAGATGCATCTACTCAGTGCATATTTTTTATTTGCGTTAAAAACTCCTATTTTGGATTCCTTAGTAAGTGAACTATTCTTTCCTGTCAACTTGGAATAAATAAACACAATCTTTTCTTAAAGCAAATATCTCTTCAGGGCTACCGCCGTTAGTGCTTAATAAATGCTTAAATTATCCTTCGTGAAAGCGTCTGTAAACGGCGATTAACGGAATAGACGAAAAGGCTATAAAATCTATGGTACTACTTTATTTTCATAAACTGTTTAACATGTAACCCCGTGTACTCTAATGTGTGATGGCCTGCGTGAGCTAGTTAAAATGTTAGCCTCTACTGAAAGGCATGTTTGATGAATTCTTTGAATAATATTAGCTAAGTAAGCAAAATAATGACTTTCTATCACCGAATGCTCGCGACTCAAATTGAGGGTATGGTTCATTGCTACCACTTGTATTTAATGCTTTTCTTAAATGTATGTTTAACTACCCCGATGCTTGAATCTCCACAGTCTATACTTCCACTCGGCAGGATAACCTTCGGAGCATGCTACTAGCCTCTTCTGTAAGTAAATAATCAAAGACTCAGGGAACTACATTGGTGGCAGCGACAAGTTGACCCGATCCTAAAGGACAACTTTGGTGGTATCTATGGCTGAATGCTAAACCTTAACGCTATGAAAGAAGGGCAGCTGCTGTGGATGTGTGAATCCACGCTGACTCCTGACAGAAGAACTAAAAATAACCTCTTCGAAAAGCTTATTATGGAGCTGTCTGCGGTGCCTGTATGATGATGTTAATAGCGTAAATAGGCGATACCTCCTCTACATTAATGCCATCTGAATGGAACCTAGGCATTCCTTCGGACAGTACTGAAGTGAAATAGCAAGAATACGTTGATGTAAAACGTTAGCCACGTAAAACTATCTCGTTTCTTATCCCTACTTGAATGGCTCTGTTTTGGGTACACTACCTTAAGACTAGCAACTGGCAACTTGTTGTGGAGTATCGCGCGGTCTTAGCCAGCATTAAGCCAGTACATTTCCTCTTCCCTAATACAATTTCCAAAAAGGAAGGAAACCTCAGTTACGGTGGAATTGTCGAGGTAGACCAAATTCTAGAATGAACACCCTTTCATATTAAGGAAAACTCAATGAATTGTGTTTTGGTCCGTGAGTGGCTACATAGCTTCAACGTCAAGATAGCCCATGCGGGAAGATAGCTGAAAAGAGCGAAGGGACAGTGTTCAAAAGGCAGAGAGGTTTAATATTTTGCTCAACTGTATATTTGGCTCCGGTAGCACTTCTGGTTTAATGGATTCTAGTTTCACTCTTTGGCATGGTATTTGGGCCACGTTAATAGTCTCCCAACTCTTCTATACATTAGTAGTCGACAACCCTGGATTTACGCCAGGAACTCAACACTCAGAGATAAAATTAAATGCAAAATGAGCTGGGGATATGGAGTCACTGTCACTTTACCTTCAACAAGACGGCCATGTTATCAGCTTTATGCTCTTTTGTAGGCTGACAGTGCACAATCTACCCAAATACTATGTTATCAATCGCCTTAAGGGAAGTCATAAAGTCCTACGCATAGTATGCTTAACTTAAAATTGGGAAAAATTCTTATCTTACAATGTTTTAAGCTTGTTTAAAGGTTTGTTTGGGCTATTTTTAAAGCACCACTACTATTTTTTCTTCTCTAGGTACCCTAGAGGGGATAGTAGGACTACAGCTAACATATCATCTGTA